GGGACGTGCACAAGTAACACACATTTTGGGGCACAAGAAACTGAGTATGTTACCCCAAAGCGGAGTATCCCCGTAGGAAGTTGGTGTAACGAGGTACACCAAAAACCCCTAGAGCATCAGTACAGTCAAACTTCTCTAAGTCATACTGTTCTTTTTCCAAGCGACATTCCCATACTAAAACGTAAGCCATAACAACTAAGTTGTGATTCAAAATTTAAAATGTTGCGATTCATAAGTTTAAAGTAAAATGCGCCGACTCTAATCCATTCTTAAAATCAAGCCTAATCTAATCCAAGTTTTATTTCCCATCAGCTAGTTCCTGTTTGAATTGTCCTGTTTGAAATTGGATATATATACTTGGGTCGTTTGGATAGTGGCCAACATGCAAGCCAACCAACTGTGCATCACCGAAAATTGTGGGTGTTTTTTTACGCGTGGCACACACAGTTTCCCAATGGCGGGGCATGCAGCAAGTGGCAGAGGAGCACCGGGCGTATGAGTTCTCCTCAGAAGGCCTCCTCCAGCCAATCTGCCAACTGCCAACTGCCCATTCCCAACTCTAAAATGCCAACTCCGCACACTCGGCCGACTGCCGACTGGTTTTGTTTAGAATTTTAGATTTTAGCGCGTTTTAGAATTTTATGAATGAATTTTTGGCGCTCGGCAGAGCTCCGCCTGCCGGGTAATGCTCCCTTTTTCCACACCACTTCAAATGGTTGGGCCACTCCGAATCGTTTGGCTCGATTCACTTTTAGTTTTTGGTTAGTTTTCGGTTCCCCATTTGTTTTTTGGGGGTGTCGATGTGACCTTGCCGGGGTGTTCCGGTGTTGTTTAGATTTGGTTTCTATTGGGCTCCACTTCTGCTGGTCCGTTTTTGCAGTTGGCACAAATCTGTGCATAGAGAAGTGTAAGGACCTTAGACAAAAGTCGGTCTTGTGCCCCTTTTTTTACATGCGAGTATTGATTTAATGTATATTGTATTTGTACAGATTACTTCGCTTTAAAGGCGCAAAGGAGAGAGTGTGACTCTTTGCAGTGAAATAACCTAAGTTTTTTTATAATATTTACATAAATACTTTAAAGAACAAAGTTATCAGATATATTACACACCATATTTGTGGTTTTCGCTTCTACAAATAATTCTTTAAAATTAAACTTTATAGAAACCTATTTTTAGTATGCATTGGTAAATACTAAATACTGTAAATAAAATATATTTTTGAAATTGTGGTAATTGAAAAAAAAAAATCAAACAGCAAACCAAACCATTGTGTGGTTAAAATGCCGCATTGTTTTTCAATAATTAATTAACAATTTCATTATTATTATTGCGCGCTGCAGGCAAAATAAAGATTCGGCGCCAGCTTCTGTGGCTGTCGGCCATAATTTTTCAGTATTAATATATTTACATCTATCTAATACATATGCATTAAATATTTAAATTTAAATGTACTTTTATAAACTTTATACATTTAATAAATGGAACCAATATTTCATGTCCTTTAGACAGAAATCATTTTTTCGTTGGAAAATTGAGATATTGCATTGTGTAAGCATGCACCTAAGGGAAGGAGCTCCTTAAGAAAAATAAATCAATTTCTGAATTTAATTGCTTGCATACAGATGGGCAAAGAAATGCATGTATACATATATCATCCTTACTAAAATTTAACACATCCCATACCCGTCAACAACTCGAATCATAGGCAATGATTTGTGGACCTCCCTTTAAGCTAAACAAAGAGTGCTTTTTGTGCATATTCATATAAATCGCAAAAACACATAAGAGCACTTATGTAAATTCTTATGTACTGCTGAATTTTAGTAGGTTTTGTTAGATTTGATGCAGGCTAAAATGTCTATTAAAAATGCGTTTGAAAAAAACTGTTGCATACCTGACGGCGCGCGCTCAAATTAACTAACGGGCCACTGAAAATTGCAATGAGAGAATATGGCTGGCGAGAGAGCCACGAATTCCAGAGAGCACAGCATCCTAGTGTGAGAGAGATAACCGAAGGGTGCCGAAGTTAAGCGAATTGAGATGAGTAGTGACGAAAGGGAGGTAACGAGGGGATTTCAGCACTAGATGTAAGGTTAACAAAAGGGGGGTGGAGATGAGGATGAGCGTTCGGCACTAAGCCGGCGAGAGAACAAACACAAAAGCGAAAGCGAGTAGCCGGCATAGGTGCCCGTGTATGTGTTCGAGAGAGGGAGGAGTATCATGCGTGCGTTTGTGTGGGTGTGTATGTGCACATACATATATTCGCACTGATGTGTGTGTCGCCTTGTCGGCAATTTAAAGAGTAAATAATTGTCTGCCGCCGGCAAACATTTGACCAAACTGCTAGTCCACCGAATGTGCCACGGTATTGGTATGGCTGGCTACTTTCGGCATCTGTATTGGTTGCCGAGTATCGGCTCTTCGTCACCAAACTCTACACAATTTTAGGCGCCGGACGAACGCACTTTCAATCAGTTAACTTTATAACGTCAGCGCCGACACTACGTTATCCGGTCCAATCGCTTCAAATCGAAACAAATTGAATTAAACTCGGCGTTACGCCCCCAAAATACAAATTTTGCACTGGTATTCGTTGCCGCGCTGCGAATTTTATCGCGTTGTTACTTTCACGCGACCAATTCGTTCGCTCAACGTCAACAAAATCGCGTGAAATCGTGTGTCTGCTGAGTGTTTTGCAACCTGTATTTAGCATGTTACTTGCGTGCTTTTTAGCCAAAGAACCGGCAAATGTGAATAAACCGCTGGGCAACTGAAAAACTGTGAGTACATAGCACTTTTCGCACATGCAAATCACTTAAGTGAATTTAATCCAGCAATTGGTCATTTTGTGAAGCACACAAATGAAAGCGCCAAAGTTTAGTTCATTAAATGACTCGTGGCAAATCCTCAATGGCGTGCACTCTGCAACAAACTATTGGAAGCAATATTGAAACAAGATGAGAAGTTGTGTGTTTAGACCATCAGATACCGTACATGCAGTTAGGCATTTTTAATTTATATAAACCTTCCACCTTAAAATACATTATTTAATAACTTCATAATAAATGATGATCCGAACCTTGCTTGTTAAGTTTTATTCCGCGCATTTAATTTGCAAAAAGATACACTAGAAATACTTTAAGATTTGTAAATGACGGTACAAAATTCAGATTATTTTTGTGATAATTTTTTTTACCAAAGAAGAAAACTGTCTGTAGCTTGTTATATTAAACTCAAACTAAGTGTATAAAAAAGAATGTAGTAATGCCAAATTTTTTATTTTATAGTTTTTTATTCTAATTTTTTTATTTTCTTTTCTTTTTTAAATATATTTTTTTCCGGAACACATCAATTTTGAGAGATAATTGTCATACCTCTTACCAAAGTCTGGCCAAGTTCTTAAATCAGGAAACGCACTTTCGGCAGAATGCCGGCTACTTAATGCGCACACAATCGGGCAATAAATCAGCATTTAATGTGCCTGCATCGAAATGCGGAGTCAGCCGACATCGACGTCATCGACATCATATGACCGCGTTTCCGAATTTCCCCGAATCTTGTGTACGTGCATTGTGTGTCGGCCCCGGCCCCGGCCCCGAAATACGAAATACGGAATGGAATACAGAATGCACGGCGCAGCACAGACGACGGGTCATGGCCACGGCCACGGCCACGAATATGGCATTTCGGCGACTCCGGTTGCGGATACAACAACGGCTCCGGCTGCAAACTCCGGCTCTGCCGTGCGTCGCAGTTTCACTTTCACGGTGCAAACACAGCTGCGAGGGTGGCGGAGATCTGGGCCGTGGGAGTTACGGGTGTTGCGGGCGCGACTTGCACTCAGCCTCACAGTTCGTCTTTCCCAAATCGGCGGGTGCACAGCAACGGACTCGGACACGGACACGGACACGGACACGGACACAGATACGGATACGGATGCGAGTACGAATACGGACACGGTTACGGCCCACTCGAACTGCCAATGACAATGTCGCACAGTGGGAAGAACCATCTTTTTAGGGCACTAAGCTAAACTGCTTTGCTTTTCAGCAATTTTTATGTTCCTGTTAATTAAAAACGATTTTTTCATGTAGATTTATAAAAACTTTCCTTGAGAATATACACTTTACGTATACGCAATATTATCAAGTATACGCACCATTACTTTAGTACTTACATGGCGTATCCGAAAGGTAGGCAATATTTTTTAAAAATATCATCTGATAGAATTTAAATTTCGAAACGTTTTAGCACTGAAATAAACGTATTTTTACCTGTATTTAGGCGAACAACATATTTTAAAAATTGTTATCGCTGTTGAGCGACATTGTCCGCCACTTGTAACACATTCTGCTCAATAAGAATGAAAATGAAATGTAAGAATGAAAAGGTTTGACCGGCAGAATACGTCAGGATGCGTCGCCTAGCTGCATGTGCGCTTTCAACACTACCCCGCCGCCATAACAACCACGACGACGGTGATGATGGTGATGGTGATGGTGATGATGCAATGCCTGAATGCCGGAAAGGCGTCGAAGTGCCCACGCACCCAATGCCCACACCCACCACTGCACATCCACATGCGCATCAGCGAGTTGCACTTGCCGAGCACATCCGCATTGCCCCCACCACCACCCACTTTTCCAGCCGCCTCTTGCCGCCGACACTCTCACTCTCCGATTCAGAAATGTGTGAGTTCTCGGCGCTTGCTCGCCACCGATTGCAGCACATCCATTTGCACTGCGAAAAATATTGTCAGTTTTTAAAAAAAAAGCAGCATACAAAAAAGTTAAGAGAATATCATAATAGTCATAAGAGAAGTCATATACCAGGGGTCTTGGAGAACTGTTCTATTTTAAATAAATATATAATATTTATATGTAATAGAAATTTATTAGATACATAATAGATATACATATGTATATAGAGATATATTATTATCAATAGTTCTCAGTTAATAGGAACTGAACTGTAATTTGGAATTCATGTTCAAGTGCTGTTGAGTGCCATTGTAACCTATTTGAATTTCAAATGATATTTCGAAATGCTTAAGGTAACTGCAGCGAGCATATGACATATCCTTAAAAATTGTTAACTAGAATTTGTGCTCCGTGTACGCCTGAGTGCAGTTACCTCTGCTCCCGGGTTTGGATGATGTTTGGCAATAAGAGTGGGAGATCGAGTGGAACTGGGAGTGGGAGTGTCTCCGGATCCGGGGAAGTCGGCCTGCTGTAGTAGGCTGTGGTAAGCCGATTGCCGGGGGCATCGCATCGCAGCGCTACGTCATCTCCATCGCCATCGTCATCGCCATCGCCACCGCCACCGCCAGCGTGTCGGGATTCGTGTGCGTGGCCTGATTTCGTCGATTGGCCTTGTGCGGGTTTCAGTGTCAGGAGCGCAGCATCTTTGTTTTGGTTGCACTTGTTGTTGCTGCGGCTGCGGCTGCTGCTGCTCGACTTGGCCTGCATATATGCAAATCACGCACACACACGAAGTGCAGTCCTCGGAGCAGGAGGTCCTCTATGCGGGAGCAGGTCCTTTATGTCTGGAGCACAGGGAAGTGGGCATTTGTGCGCTCTTGGTGGGTTAGATGGCCAAGTAAACAGAGTTCAAAACTGGGTTGGAAGTGATGCAAGTTGAAACGTTTTATTTTTTTGCAAGCCAACTAACTCAGGCTATTTTTTATTTAATTAGAAAGTGCATTAACTTGACTTAATAGTGCAAATAACTTAATGCACTGGAATTTATGTACATTTCTTATGGCCAGTAAATTCAGTCAAATAATAACTATATAACATGTTTAACTTCTTAAGTTGTAGCAAACCTTATTAGCAACGCTGATTTTGGTCGGTATCAGAAAAAGATATTCCTACTAATGCGATCAGTTTTGCAATGAATGTATACCTAATAACATGTTGTGTTTCATTACTCGGCTCAGTTTTATGTCGAAAAAGTTATCAGAAAGGTGATTCGCTTAACCTTAAAACAAATTACAATATAATTTTACGAACTATCTAATAAATTCCCAGAAAATCAGTACCAAGTTGTGGGCGTTGATTGTGAGGAAAATGAGGCAGTTAGCTGCATGATTATTAAATGCCCGGATGAACAATTTTGTCCCGCGGCAAATTTCTGCTATAATCCCAAGTGCGTTTGTCGCAAAGGATTTCGGCGTCTCAAAGGAGTCTGTGTGCCGAAACACAGTTCTCTGCACCTCAAGAAAGTTTCTTTGGAGACGGCTCTACTGGAAATGCCATATAGGGAGCTATAATTATGAAAGATCTAAAGGGAAATGGAAATTACTTTCCTATTTTTTCCACTTGCAGTCGCACACGATCAAAATAACTTAAACTTGTAAATAAAAAACTTGTACTTATCCAAAATAAGGAATTGGAATGCCTAAATGTATCAGTTTTGAAGTACCTAAATTAAATCTTTGAATAAAAATGTTTGTATAGTATTCATTTATTATAATTATTTGATGCAATACATTATTTAGTGTTACTTCAAGAACTAATTTTAGTACTTATTTTTACTTAATTAAGATATTGCTTGTAGTTTTGATCTTTCTATTAAAAATGAACTTACATGTTCATATCAATTCGATGATACGACCAAAGATTCATCCAACAGATACGTTGGATATCCTTTCGAAAGGCAAATAGAGTGTGTTTTCATTCCAGCCACTTTGCGAGAGCCCCAATTGTTGGCTCTCGCTGTTTATTCTCGCTCCGCTCTCTCTCTGCCGCACACGAGCGTAGTTAGACCAACTAATGCCAAATGGGTGGATCGGATTGGGGGGCTGGGGGCTGGGGCTTGGGGCTCTATTGTGGCCGTGTGCCGGCTGCGAAAAACCCGAGTGCCGAGGCTATATGTCTCGTGGCGGAGAGAAAAGTCGGAATACTATATCGCCGGGTCGGTCGGTGGCAGTCAGTTGTGAAGCTACGCCACACGCCGCCAGGTGGCTCCGTATGTGGATGCGGCGGGTGTTATTCGCATGTGCATGTGCATGTGCACCTCAGACGGTGAGCGGTACGGAAAATGACGCAACCCCCTACCAGCCCGTATGGAAAAGCATCCGAAGACCCCACCGGAATACCACACAATACATACTTTTTTTTGGCCGTATTTTTCGCCGCGGAGGAGGTGACCTCCAGAATGGGCTCGCAATGCAATTGGCTGCACTTTTCCTTTGTCAGCCCGCCTTGCGTTTTATTGTGTCACGGGTTCGCGCGCAGATGGGAAAAATAAACGACGACGGTGTTTTCGCCAAGTGAAAGTCTGCTGTTTAACAACCGGCGAAATTGGAAACTCCACTTTGTTATTATTTTTATTATCGCGACGAGAAAAGCAAATATACATATGCGTGTGCACAATTAGAAACGACACTAATTTGGCGTGCTTAGTGAAAATCGATATGGCGCAGCCTTTGGCTTTTGGCACATGCGAGTCAGTTTAGAATGTCCCACACTGCGTATGCGTTACATTGTCGTGTTAATTTCCATTCCGCTCCTCCTATTTATCACTTTCTGATTCGCGAAACCCACGCACTGGCGCTTTAGGCCAGCCCTAACCTAATCTTAATGTACCGACACACTAAATCGCATATAGTGGGTCGACATCGACGGAATCCCCGCTAAAATTCCAGCCCCCTTCGATTTTTATTGCTCCTACCTCGGCGCCTCCTCCTCCCTCCTCCATCCTCCCTCCTTCCTTCTTTCTCTCGCTCGCTGTCGCTCTCACTCTCACACAGCGCGCAGGATTCGCGCTCTTTTTTATCGTCACCTCCACAAATGCAAAGTGGGCGGTGGGCGGTGGGTGGCGGCTTAGACGACGGTGTGCGTGTGTGTGAGTCCTCCGGTTCGGCAAGTCAGCTAAAATAACAACAACTGCAGCGCTGTTTTCACTTTCCATTCAAAAGGCTTCTAAGCTTAAATTGTGCTGCAGTTTTAGCCACCTTTGGTTTGTCTATTTTCGGGAAATCCACGGATTAATGGGTTATTCTGCGGTTGGCTACAGTTGGCTGAACCCATTTATGAATATATGCATGAGATCGACGTTTAAACATGGTATATTGTGTTTACCATAAATTGCAGGGCAAAATCAAGGGAATATTTAAGACTAACACAACAAACATAACTAAGGCTTCTAACTTAATACTTTGCCTACCCACAAATGTCTCATTTTAGAAGCCTGATTCTCCGCGCACAAGATCCCATTGAAATCCCCCTGGAATCCCCTGATTAGCTGAGAAACGAACGCACAATGAACTTCACCCCGTTTGGCAATACCTTTCCCGGCAACATTCCCGGCCTGCCGCAATTCACGACGAGCACAGCTCCCCTGGTTTCCACCGTGACCGCCGCCGTCACGGATGTGGCTGTGACGGGCACCAATAATCCGCAGCAGCAGCAGCAGGATGCGGCCGGCAGCAGCAATCGCTACCAGCAGCAGCAGCAGCAACAGGTAACGCATTTTGGCCAGGCCACCATGACGGCGGGCCAGGGCAGCAGTGGCAACAAGTTCCGTGGCGGCCAGGAGGATGCTCTCCAGGGTGACAAGTACAATGGCCACTTGGTGGCTTCCTCCCAGCAGCAGCAGCAGCAGCAACAGCAGCAGACGCAATATGCAACTGTTGCGTATGCAAGTGCAACAGCGACGAGTGCTGCAGCGGATGCGCTGCAAGCGGGAACTTCCGGCCAGCAGCAGCAGCAGCAGATGCAGCAGCAACAGGTCACCGCCCCACAGGAACTCACCCAAGATCTGTGCAACGCCATCCTCCAGCAGCAAGGTGAGAGCTAGATAAGATGAGATTGGTAGGATTGCTTAGCTAGATTAATCCAATGATCAATTAATACTTGCAGTACTCCAGAATACCTCGTGGCAAACTCTGACGCCGGGAACCACAGTTGCCGACTACCTCTCGCATCTTCCAGCCAACACGTTGCCCCTGTCGCTGCATCACTTCCTCAAGTATTCCGCGGAGACGATAAAGAAGGAGAACCAACAGAATGTGGTAAGTCACTATAAATCACCACTTTTAAGATTATACAGTTTGCTTACGCTTGCTTTCAGGTGCTGCAGGTGCAGACGGGACCAGCCATCGGGATCAACACCCTGGGCACGACAACCATTAGTATACCTCAGCAGGAGCAGCTGACGCTGCAGCCGCAGCAGCAGGCCACGTTGCAGGTGCAGACGCAGGCGGCGGTCACGGCGACGGCGACGACGGCGACAGCGACGACGGCCGGCGGATCCGGCGGCACTTCCGGCAAGAAGAAGAAGCGCAAAAAGCGCAGCAAGGACCGGAAAACGAAACTGCGACCCGGCGAGATTCGCCTGGGCACCGCACTCGACGGCAGTCCGCTGTACATGTGTCCCGAATGCCATGTGGCTTATCCGGAGCCAGAGCTGCTCGAAGTGCATCTGGTGGGCCACAACCTGGAGAAGCGCTACGTGTGCGACATCTGCCAGGCGTCGCTGAAGCGCAAGGATCACCTCACCCGCCACAAACAGTCGCACAATCCGGAGAGACCCTACATCTGCACCGTGTGCCTGAAGGCCTTCAAGCGGAAGGAGCAACTGAGTCTGCACTTTGTCATCCATTCCGGCGAGAAGCGCCACCAGTGCGGCGAGTGCGGCAAGGGCTTCTACCGCAAGGATCACCTGCGCAAACACACCCGCTCCCACATCGCTCGGAGGGTCAAGGCCGAGTTGAACAGCCATGTGCGGCGCGAAAACGGTACCAGTATGTTGCAACCTGTCGTCACGGAGGCCACAACGGCGGCCCTGCAACATGCCAACCAGCTGGCCAGCGCACAGCAGCAGTTGCAGCAGCAGCAGCAACAGCAGCAGCAGCAGCAGCAGCAGCAACAGCAGCAGCAACAGCAGCAGCAGCAACATCACATTGTGATCACCCAGCAGCAGACGACAACGCAGCAACAGACTTCGCAGCAGCAGCAGCAACAGCAGCAAATGATAAATTAGCCAAATGATTTTTGTAAAGTCAGTTAAAGCGAAATTCAATTTAGTATCATCTGAGTCCTCAGGGGCTCGGCTGCTCAAAAATAACAAATAACTCTCTCGGTCCACACAATTTAATTGACTCTCACAAATCGGATAATACAAACAGGAGGATGTTAGCTAATGTCTTCGAGACTTTCCTTAGGGAATTCTCAACGTTGTACAACTTTAATCGTAAGTTCGCGATGGGATAATGATGGGAACCTTCCACAAACGAAAGTGCATTCACTGGGATAGAACTACATGCGATGAGATATTTTAAAATTTAGCTTAATTATGTCTGAATTCCAATAGTTTACGAATTATTTCCCAGGCGAATTAGGTATATGATTTAAAAAATTATTTATTTGAATTTTTTTGCAAGCGTTTCAACAGATCTCGAATGTGTAACCTGCACACAAGCCATTTTTTAAACTATAAGCATTTGTATAGCACGATTTCCTTTACTTAAGCATTGCATTTCCATTCCAATAGTTAAATACGATCCCAGTGAGGTTGTCGCCCCAACACTCCATACTTTAATTTAAGACAAATGTGCAAAGGAATAATAATTTTATACGCAATGTATTTTAGTGAAATGTATTTTTCTACAATTAGAATCAATGTTGTATGTATGTATGTCGTCCATATGTACATACACCTGTACGAATACTTGAACACTGTTCACTGGCAGCGAACTATATATTTATATACTATGTAAACAAATGCAATTTAGATTTACACATACTTGTAGGAACAAATCTAAAATTGTGAATGTACGTATAACTTTTTGCTACACCGATAAATCCAACACAAAAATCCTTGTAAATAAGCAGTAAATTATATAATTTGATCTAAACCGAAGTAAGACTATTTCATTCTTTCATACATTTTCAGAAAAGCAACAGTTTTATTTCCTTGGGGTTATTTATTTGCTTTATTTAGAGTACTCATAAATTACGATTATTATGCACCATTCATTGTAGTCAATTAAATAATTAATTAGCGTTATCCGTATTATTATCCGTATTCTGTATATGTCCATGTGTTAGTTGTATATCCTTTATTTATGTACGAGCAGTTTTGATTTACCGTTCTTTCGTGCGTACTTTTCTAAGCTTAACGTTATGACGAATTACAAAGTATGCATTAATTTTATGGGAAAAGGGACGTGGTGTGGAGGGTATATTCGTTCTTGGTAAAAAAAACGCGCAGGGTGGAGTTTGTGCTTTATACACATATGAATCAAAAAATTAAAAATGAACCTAACATATTTTTTTTTTAATTTTAGTTCTAGTGATTATACAACGAGGCCTTATTAAAAATATATGTTTATAATATATATAGGGATAGTGTTATGTGAGAATGTTAATGTGCAAATGCGGGTGTGCTACGATGACAATTGCTCGAATCGCAAACTTCGTTTCACGCCCACTCATCAACATTCAAGATCGAATAATTTCTGCGTATTTCGTTTTTTGCTTTTTGTTTTGGTAAGTTCTGTGTTTCATTTTGTTGCGAAAATAACTGCTAAATCACTGTACAAAGAACGAGGAGTGTCTATTGGATGACCTTCTACGGTCCGCAAAGAAACTTTCGTTTTTGGTCCTCCATGTAATCGCGTGTGGACATCTGGATGGCTTGCTGCAGCATTTCGCTCTCGTTGGCGCCTGCCATCAAGAGGGAGAAATGTTTAGATATATTATTGCTCGTATGATTTCAACTCACCTTCATTGGCGTAGGATGCCTCGAGCAGCTCCTGGTAAAAGCTGGAGTAGCTCTGCTCCCTAGGTGACTGGCCATCCCCGCTCTTCTGTGGCGAATAAGACGACTGCTTCGAGGTGGAGGGACGCTGCTCAGCCTCTGGCGTGTTAGCTCGTGCCACTGATGGCGCTGAATCGCGCTTTGGACTCTTCCTCAGCGGAGCCTCCAGAGCCTCGGCGCTGCAAGGTAGGAAGGAACTTAAAACCTCAGTACGCTGGACCACAAGTCGTCACAAACACCAACCTCTTGCTAGCCAAAGGCGCCTCGCGAGTTTCGTGTCGTCGCTTCTTTCTAAGCGCTGTAGTGCGACGCTGTGACTTGGATCCCTTGCCGGAACGTTGGCTTGCAGCTGTGCTCGGTGATGAGCTGCCTCCGCAGTGTCCCACCGAGCTGGTACTACTCATGTCTGTAGCATCGCTATCGTAGCCACCCAGCTCGTTCACCTCAGGCGGCAGCTTGTGACTAAACTGACTAAGTGTTTTAGGGGACAGCGAAAAGGCGGGGCCTGTGCCATCACCACCACTACCGCTGGTCAATGTCACAGGTGTATTACCGCTGCTGCCGGTGCCCCCACAAACAGAGTATTTTGAGGGCGAGGCATCTGAATCGGTAAGCGCTTCTGCAGAGGTAACCGTTGAGGATGTGGCTGATCCTGCCGCCGTATTGCTGCTGCGCGAGCGTTGCATATTCTCGCGGCACCACTGTAGGTAGGACTCGCGTGCAATTTGCTCCTCAATGGCTTCGTTAGTGGCCTCCCAGTCTGTTGTCTTTAGTTTATCTTCAAACATGGTCTGCAATTTAAAAGGTTGTGTAAATGGATGTCACTTAAAAATATGTTTACTATTACATACTTGTTCGATCTCCAACTGCTCGCTGAGACGCGCAGCCTCTTTGGTTTGGATCTCGGGCTTGTATCCAGCCAAGCCCAGGCCCACGCCAACGGTGGCGTTGTAGGGATCCAAAATAGCATTGTAGTGGGATCCGCGCTGATAGGATAACCGCAGCGGAGGATAGCCTGCCTGCGACTGTTCCGAGTTAAATATATTGATGGGATCTGCAAATAATATACGTTACAAAATAAGAATTATCATATTCATATTCTATACTGACATTTTAAATCTTAGCTGCATACTTACTTGACTGGTAGCAGTATACCTCGACGGTACGACTGTAGATCTCGGAAATAGCCTGGATCTCAATGTGGTTGCCATGGGCATCACGAGCTCGTTTACGCTGTATATAGCTATTGATGTCCTCGGTGACGAACTGACCAAAATATTCCCGATTCTCGTGCTGCATAAGTAACCAGTATTGTTAGGACAAATTAGAGTGTGCATTCAGATGAAACATTACAATGTAATCCATAGTGTGCTGGCGGATCACGTCGTGCATCTCCTCGTCGCCGTATATTTGAAGGGATATGGAGCGAAACAGGCAGGCGCCATCCTCCTCGACAGGCTTAAGTTCGTAGCCGCGCTGTTCCATACACTTGGCGAACTCCAGGTCGCGTCGCTGCCACTCTTCCACTGGAATCAATCGCTCTTTGGGCTGAAGGTGCTCATCGCCGCTATTGTAACCGGAAAAGGTTTCCTCCACCGTTTTTAGCAAATTGGCTGCCGCCGTAGCCGGAGACATCTGGACCTGAGCTGTGGGCACCGTGGTGCAACCCAGTCCCAAGTGTTCGGGTGAGTTTCTGCCAACCGCCGACGGACTGCTACTGCCAGAAGTTGAAGCCAACGGTGGACTGTTGCATTTGCTGCCAGTTACACCAGGTGCTCCGCTGCCCGCCGCTGCCGTCGGATGGACTAGTTTCTCGCGCTCAAGACGATCGCGTTTATAGAGGTGTGCATGAGCTTCGTGGTGATCTCGACGCTTCGAGCGTGTGCTGGTGGAAAGACGGAAAATCGACAATATATATTTCCGAAAAAATTTTGCTAGAATTTTGAATTTAAAAACTGACTGCCAACTATTGCATTACGGAAAGCATTGAATAGTAGATGTGAAAATTCAATAGAGAATATTTTGTAAATTTACAGAAGAAACTTTATAGTTCGCTCTTATATTCAATTTTCTAGAAGGAGGCCCTACTAAATTTCTGTGAACTATAGGTCATGTCCCAGAATGTAAGGGTACTACCATCAGGCGAGTTAACCAATTAAATGCAGCTGGTACAGGGCGTGGAGCCCCACCCCAGGAAATCCAGGGGGCCCACTGCTATAACTCACCTCTTGTGTGGGCTGCAGCGATGGGTGCGTGCCAGTTCGTCGTAGACCTCGCCACGCCTCTGGGGGCTCTAAAATGAGGGCGGAACGAAGGTGCATATTAATAGGCAAGTCCCAGAAGGCGTTTCAGAACCACTCACCTGCCCATCTATGACGACGTTGCGGTGGTTGTGGGCATGGTTATGGGTCTGGCTGACCACCGACTGCTCCACCACAACCACCTGGGCCTCCTTGTTATCGGGATCCACATTTCCAGCCACGCGTTTCGCGCTCGGTGGTGCGCTCACTGGCTTGATTGTCATGGTGGTGTGCTGCTATTTTTGTGTCCCTTGCTGTGCTCTTTCTCTTTCTTTCCCTTCTTTGTTATTAGCTATCGGTTGGATTTAACAATTTGCTTAGGTCGATAACTGTGCGTCAGCGTCATAAAGGGACACCTCATTAATTGTTAATCACGATCCACACAGCTCATAGAAAACTATGCGTTCTTTGTCCGAGATGAGATGTCGTCGCAGAAATTGCGACCCCACTGGTTCCTTTCACCGACGGAAATGGGAGTTTCTCTTGACTGCTGCTGGGGAAATCGGTGCTTGTTTATCGTAGGATTAGTGTGTTCTATCACTTTTCAGTCCTAATTGTGGCAGCAAATCACAAAGACTCCTCTGAGCAGTACAAAACTACAAAAAAAAAGACAATTTCCAGATTTTCATCTGTTTTTGTGCAAGTGTGTGTGCGTGTGTGTGTGTGCGCTGTGTTTGCTGTTGCTTACCATTGCTTACCATCGTTACCTAAAACTCGGCGATTATTGATTTCTGACTCCGATGCCACCGACTTGCAGCGAAATCTAGTCAATGTATTTCAAATATTTCGGGGGTTTTATATTGTTGATAATCCTGTAGTTCGATTTTTTTATTTTGTGCACGTTGTCCAGTGTGACCGCGGCTCTTTGCTGTAAAAATACCATCATCTGAGAAATGGAACGGCGAAACATTGGAACATGGAACTTTGATTTTGTATATCCTCTTCATTTTAAAACATAACTAAAATAATTAAGGTACAGACAACTTCAGGAAATAACGAAGCGTTTGTTAGAATATCAAATATGCACTCAACCAAAAACTCCATCACCAAGCTTAATATCATAAGATTAGCAAGGACATAAGCCACGATGTAAGGCGCCCACCAATGACATAAGCCCTATGAAAAGATGTAATTGTTAATAAAAGTTTGCAAACGTATTTGCTTCGATAAAACTTTTTTTAAATACTTGCTCACTTTTTAAGTTCTGAGTTTTGGTTTATTAAACAAATGTACATATACTTAAATATTGTTCTTCTTATATTTTAAATATGATTTATAAAGTATGTACAATTCTATACACAACACCAATCATTCCAGAACTTCAGAAAATGTTTATAATCTTTTCACGCGCTAAAAAAATAAACGCAGGTTGTTGACTTGTCGTCATTAGAGATTATGCTGTGAAACACATGTGTAAATATTTATCGCAGGACAACATTCGTTTAATTTAGAAAAGGTATAAAACATCCATGCACAAAGCCAAAATTTTAGTCTATAAAAAAAACCACTATGAAGACACAGGTTATATTTATTACTTTTATCTTGGTACTGTTGGCGATTTTGCGAGCCAACGCCGAAAGTTTCACTATCACTGAAGCCTCCGAAACCACGACAGAATCTCCGCCAGCTCCGCAATGGTCTTGGACGGAATTTACCCGGGCTTTCAACGGCAGCGGTAGTGGAAACAAATTCTACTTCTTTTTCTAGACCGATTCTTATCTGAAAATTGTTTTCTGTCAATAAAATGCAAATGAAATGAAACAATCTTAAAATAATTGTTTCAGTTTTTATATTTTTGATTTTCATTATTCTTGTTTTTGTCATCTTTAATCAATGGGGAATTGTGCCTCAATAGGCAAATCTCTATAACTTATGAAAGCTCTGTTTATTTTTGTCCACCATATATTAAAATAATTGTTTCAGTTTTTATATTTTTGATTTTCATTATTCTTGTTTTTGTCATCTTTAATGAATGGGGAATTGTGCATCAATAGGCAAATCTCTATAACTTATGAAAGCTCTGTTTATTTTTGAGATGTTCGTACTTATGAAGCTCAAGGAAATTGCTTACATTGGTCAGCATTTAAAAAGTAGGATTACATCAATTAGTATACACGTAAATACCCCAAAAATGAACACATTTTTTAATATTCGTATGCATATATTTTACAATCGTGTACATTAAAGTCTTGAGCCGTATTACCTTGGCCTTAGCCATTCTCACGAACCAACTCTAATATTGATTGTTCCATCTGCCCCATCCGCTTCCATAAGGACGCCATCCATATCTCCAACTTGGCCTGGCTCCAACACCAACCCAACGTCCGTTGCCCCACCAGTATGGATATTGTCCGGTTACACCGACAGATCCATCTTGGATCGCAGTTGCGTCATTGGAACTCTCCGATCCCTCCACATTCAGGCCATCGGCGGATACTGCACCATCAGCCAAGCTTTCGCTGCCTTGGGTAGCGCTTCGGGTCCAAGACTTCGTGCTTTGGGACTGCGATCTCTTCGCACTGGAACTGTCACCAGAAAATCCCGATCGCTGAGACCATGATTCCCCAGCTCGAGATCCACCTGCACCTACAATAGAACCGGAAAGAGATGAACCATCACTGGCATTCGTCTCACCGCTGCTGGTGCTCCTCTTAATTAGCTTCGACCACGAGCCCGAAGCATCTCCTCCACCAACAGTAATACCTGCGTTAATGGTAGGTAGGGTTAACCGAATAGGGTTGGATATTTGCTTTGGGACCGATGAAGTTTTTGATGTAGTGGTTGTGGTCGTAGTTTTGGATGTAGAACTAGACTTGGGAGCTACAGAGTTGTTTGAGGCTATTTTAATGGTCTTAGTGGATGTTGATCCTGATATTCCGCCATCAATAGATATGCCGGCATCAACTTTCGGTACAGACAAGGTTTCAGACGATTTACTTCCTTTTGTAGATGTTGTCGTAGTTGTTGTAGATGATGTAGAGCTTGACTTTCCACCATTAACATTTAGACTGGCATCAAGTTGAGGCAGACTCAAGTCAATCTTTGAGAGGGACTCAACGCCGTTGATGGATAAGTTGGCATCAACTTCCGGAAGAGACAAGGTATTGGATGATTTACTTCCTTTTGTGGATGTAGTCGTAGTTGTTGTTGACGATGTAGAGCTTGACTTTCCACCATTAACATTTAGACTGGCATCAAGTTTAGGCAGACTCAAGACTATCTTCGGAAAAATGTTTGTGGGTTTAATCGTCTTTATGATGGCATCAACTTTCGGCAGAGACAAGATTTTCGATGTCTTACTTCCCTTTGTGGAAGTTGTCGTAGTTGTTGTAGATGATGTAGAGCTTGACTTTCCACCATTAACATTTAGACTGGCATCAAGTTTAGGCAGACTCAAGTCTATCTTTGGGAGGGATACATCGCCGTTGATGGCTAAGCTGGCATCAACTTCCGGAAGAGACAAGGATGGTTTACTTGCTTTTGTGGATGTTGTCGTAGTTGTTGTAGATGATGTAGAGCTTGACTTTCCACCATTAACATTTAGACTGGCATCAAGTTTAGGCAGACTCAAGTCTATCTTTGGGAGGGAAACATCGCCGTTGATAGCTAAGCTGGCATCAACTTCCGGAAGAGACAAGGATGGTTTACTTGCTTTTGTAGATGTTGTCGTAGTTGTTGTAGATGATGTAGAGATTGACTTTCCACCATTAACATTTAGACTGGCATCAAGTTGAGGCAGACTCAAGTCAATCTTTGGGAGGGAAACATCGCCGTTGATGGCTAAGCTGGCACCAACTTCCGGAAGAGACAAGGATGGTTTACTTGCTTTCGTGGATGTTGTCGTAGTTGTTGTAGATGATGTAGAGCTTGACTTTCCACCATTAACATTTAGACTGGCATCAAGTTTAGGCAGACTCAAGACTATCTTTGGAAAAATGTTTGTGGGTTTAATCGTCTTTATGATGGCATCAACTTTCGGCAGAGACAAGATTTTCGATGTCTTACTTCCCTTTGTGGATGTTGTCGTAGTTGTTGTAGATGATGTAGAGCTTGACTTTCCACCATTAACATTTAGACTGGCATCAAGTTGAGGCAGACTCAAGTCTATCTTTGGGAGGGATACATCACCGTTGATGGCTAAGCTGGCATCAACTTCCGGAAGAGACAAGGATGGTTTACTTGCTTTTGTGGATGTTGTCGTAGTTGTTGTAGATGATGTAGAGCTTGACTTTACACCATTAACATTTAGACTGGCATCAAGTTGAGGCAGACTCAAGTCTATCTTTGGGAGGGAAACATCGCCGTTGATGGCTAAGCTGGCATCAACTTTCGGGAGAGACAAGGATGGTTTACTTGCTTTTGTGGATGTGGTCGTAGTTGTTGTAGATGATGTAGAGCTTGACTTTCCACCATTAACATTTAGACTGGCATCAAGTTTAGGCAGACTCAAGTCTATCTTTGGGAGGGAAACATCGCCGTTGATAGCTAAGCTGGCATCAACTTTCGGAAGAGACAAGGATGGTTTACTTGCTGTTGTGGATGTTGTCGTAGTTGTTGTAGATGATGTAGAGCTTGACTTTCCACCATTAACATTTACACTGGCATCAAGTTGAGGCAGACTCAAGTCTATCTTTGGGAGGGAAACATCGCCGTTGATGGCTAAGCTGGCATCTACTTTCGGGAGAGACAAGGATGGTTTACTTGCTTTTGTGGATGTGGTCGTAGTTGTTGTAGATGATGTAGAGCTTGACTTTCCACCTTTAACATTTAGACTGGCATCAAGTTTAGGCAGACTCAAGTCAATCTTTGGGAGGGAAACATCGCCGTTGATGGCTAAGCTGGCATCAACTTCCGGAAGAGACAAGGATGGTTTACTTGCTTTTGTGGATGTTGTCGTAGTTGTTGTAGATGATGTAGAGCTTGACTTTCCACCATTAACATTTAGACTGGCATCAAGTTTAGGCAGACTCAAGTCTATCTTTGGGAGGGAAACATCGCCGTTGATAGCTAAGCTGGCATCAACTTTCGGAAGAGACAAGGATGGTTTACTTGCTTTTGTGGGTGTTGTCGTAGTTGTTGTAGATGATGTAGAGCTTGACTTTCCACCATTAACATTTACACTGGCATCAAGTTGAGGCAGACTCAAGTCTATCTTTGGGAGGGAAACATCGCCGTTGATGGCTAAGCTGGCATCTACTTTCGGGAGAGACAAGGATGGTTTACTTGCTTTTGTGGATGTGGTCGTAGTTGTTGTAGATGATGTAGAGCTTGACTTTCCACCATTAACATTTAGACTGGCATCAAGCTTAGGCAGACTCAAGTCTATCTTTGGGAGGGAAACATCGCCGTTGATAGCTAAGCTGGCATCAACTTTCGGAAGAGACAAGGATGGTTTACTTGCTTTTGTGGATGTTGTCGTAGTTGTTGTAGATGAAGTAGAGCTTGACTTTCCACCATTAACATTTACACTGGCATCAAGTTGAGGCAGACTCAAGTCTATCTTTGGGAGGGAAACATCGCCGTTGATGGCTAAGCTGGCATCAACTTCCGGTAGGGACACGGTATTGGATGATTTACTTCCTTTTGTGGATGTGGTCGTAGTTTTTGATGACGATATTAACCCATTAGCCACTATGCTGGCATCAACCGCAGGAACAGTTAAGATACCTGACTGCTTACTTCCTTTGGTGGTCGTAGTTGTTGTTGTTGTTGTGGTTGATGATCGGGTGGTATTCCCACCATTGCTAATTGAGGTTTCCTTGGTAACATCGTTCAAGACATTTCCTTGGGTGCCATCAACGCCAGCATCTGTTATTGAGTCAGACGATTCCTCTGCAATAATAGTGGAACTACCATCGGTATTTTTACGTGACTTTTTAGTCCAGCGCTTGGTCCGATATTTTATAGACTTGCCACCAATATACGATTTCTTTGAAGAGCGTAACCAAGAATATTTGGTCTGAGGAGTGGAGGAAGAACTTGTCGTTATGGTTGTTGAAGTTTCGCTAGAGCTAGAGTTTCTGCTTGACTTCGGAACTCTTACAGTTTTTGACGAATATGTTTTTGTGGCTTTAGTCCATTTAGGGCTTCCACTACTGCCACCATTTGTTCCTTGAGAGACTTTGATGTTTGATGTGGTCGTCGTAGTCGAGGATTGGTTAGAGTTGCCATCAGCATTCGAAGAGGATCCCTTAGCGACTTCTACGACAGGAGCCGGGGAGGAGGTGGATTGACCCTCATCGGATGATGTTGTTGTTGTGGTTGTCGTCGTTGTCGAGGACTGGGTTGAGTTTCCATCAGCATTCGAAGAGGAGCCCTGAGTGACTTCTACGACAGGAGCCGGGGAGGAGGCGGATTGACCCTCATCGGAAGTTGTTGTAGTTGTGGAAGAGGACGAAGACTGAGTGGAGCTGCTACCTCCGTTTGTTCCCTGAGTAGCTACTACAATTGGGTCAGATGAGGTGGTGGGGTTTCCCTCATCGGATGATGTCGTCGTTGTAGTTGTCGTCGTTGTCGACGACTGGCTAGAGTTTCCATCAGCATTCGAAGAGGAGCCCTGAGTGACTTCTACGACAGGAGCCGGAGAGGAGGTGGATTGACCCTCATCGGATGATGTTGTCGTTGTGGTTGTCGTCGTTGTCGAGGACTGGGTTGAGTTTCCATCAGCATTCGAAGAGGAGCCCTGAGGGACTTCTACAACAGGAGCCGGGGAGGAGGCGGATTGACCCTCATCGGATGATGTTGTCGTTGTGGTTGTCGTCGTTGTCGAGGACTGGGTTGAGTTTCCATCAGCATTCGAAGATGAGCCCTGAGTGACTTCTACGACAGGAGCCGGGGAGGAGGAGGATTGACCGTCATCGGAAGTTGTTATAGTTGTGGAAGAGGACGAAGACTGAGTGGAGCTGCTACCTCCGTTTGTTCCCTGAGTAGCTACTACAATTGGGTCAGATGAGGTGGTGGGGTTTCCCTCATCGGATGATGTCGTCGTTGTAGTTGTCGTCGTTGTCGACGACTGGCTAGAGTTTCCATCAGCATTCGAAGAGGAGCCCTGAGTGACTTCTACGACAGGAGCCGGAGAGGAGGTGGATTGACCCTCATCGGATGATGTTGTCGTTGTGGTTGTCGTCGTTGTCGAGGACTGGGTTGAGTTTCCATCAGCATTCGAAGAGGAGCCCTGAGGGACTTCTACAACAGGAGCCGGGGAGGAGGCGGATTGACCCTCATCGGATGATGTTGTCGTTGTGGTTGTCGTCGTTGTCGAGGACTGGGTTGAGTTTCCATCAGCATTCGAAGAGGAGCCCTGAGTGACTTCTACGACAGGAGCCGGGGAGGAGGAGGATTGACCGTCATCGGAAGTTGTTATAGTTGTGGAAGAGGACGAAGACTGAGTGGAGCTGCTACCTCCGTTTGTTCCCTGAGTAGCTACTACAATTGGGTCAGATGAGGTGGTGGGGTTTCCTGAATCGGAAGATGTCGTCGTTGTAGTTGTCGTCGTTGTCGACGACTGGCTAGAGTTTCCATCAGCATTCGAAGAGGAGCCCTGAGTGACTTCTACGACAGGAGTCGGAGAGGAGGTGGATTGACCCTCATCGGATGATGTTGTCGTTGTGGTTGTCGTCGTTGTCGAGGACTGGGTTGAGTTTCCATCAGCATTCGAAGAGGAGCCCTGAGTGACTTCTACGACAGGAGCCGGGGAGGAGGAGGATTGACCGTCATCGGAAGTTGTTATAGTTGTGGAAGAGGACGAAGATTGAGTGGAGCTGCTATCTCCGTTTGTTCCCTGAGTAGCTACTACAATTGGGTCAGATGAGGTGGTGGGGTTTCCTGAATCGGAAGATGTCGTCGTTGTAGTTGTCGTCGTTGTCGACGACTGGCTAGAGTTTCCATCAGCATTCGAAGAGGAGCCCTGAGTGACTTCTACGACAGGAGCCGGAGAGGAGGCGGATTGACCTTCATCGGATGATGTTGTCGTTGTGGTTGTCGTCGTTGTCGAGGATAGGGTTGAGTTTCCATCAGCATTCGAAGAGGAGCCCTGAGTGACTTCTACGACAGGAGCCGGGGAGGAGGAGGATTGACCGTCATCGGAAGTTGTTATAGTTGTGGAAGAGGACGAAGATTGAGTGGAGCTGCTATCTCCGTTTGTTCCCTGAGTAGCTACTACAATTGGGTCAGATGAGGTGGTGGGGTTTCCTGAATCGGAAGATGTCGTCGTTGTAGTTGTCGTCGTTGTCGACGACTGGCTAGAGTTTCCATCAGCATTCGAAGAGGAGCCCTGAGTGACTTCTACGACAGGAGCCGGAGAGGAGGCGGATTGACCCTCATCGGATGATGTTGTCGTTGTGGTTGTCGTCGTTGTCGAGGACTGGGTTGAGTTTCCATCAGCATTCGAAGAGGAGCCCTGAGTGACTTCTACGACAGGAGCCGGAGAGGAGGTGGATTGACCCTCATCGGATGATGTTGTCGTTGTGGTTGTCGTCGTTGTCGAGGACTGGGTTGAGTTTCCATCAGCATTCGAAGAGGAGCCCTGAGTGACTTCTACGACAGGAGCCGGGGAGGAGGAGGATTGACCATCATCGGAAGTTGTTATAGTTGTGGAAGAGGACGAAGATTGAGTGGAGCTGCTATCTCCGTTTGTTCCCTGAGTAGCTACTACAATTGGGTCAGATGAGGTGGTGGGGTTTCCTGAATCGGAAGATGTCGTCGTTGTAGTTGTCGTCGTTGTCGACGACTGGCTAGAGTTTCCATCAGCATTCGAAGAGGAGCCCTGAGTGACTTCTACGACAGGAGCCGGAGAGGAGGTGGATTGACCCTCATCGGATGATGTTGTCGTTGTGGTTGTCGTCGTTGTCGAGGATAGGGTTGAGTTTCCATCAGCATTCGAAGAGGAGCCCTGAGTGACTTCTACGACAGGAGCCGAAGAGGAGGCAGTTTGACCTTCATCTGAAGATGTTGTAGTTGTGGAAGAGGACGAAGATTGAGTGGAGCTGCTTTCTCCGTTTGTTCCCTGAGTAGATTCTACAGTTGGGTCAGATGAGGTGGTGGATTGGCCCTCATTGGATGAGGTTGTCGTTGTGGTTGTCGTCGTTGTTGAGGATTGGTTAGAGTTTCCATCAGCATTTGAAGAGGATCCCGGAATGACATTTACTACAGTTGTAGTAGATGCAGATTGATCCGTAATAGAGCTTCCATCTAAGAGTGGTAGCTGTTTTTTTCCGTTGACACAATTCACATAATTTGGATTGCCGAGAAGTTCTCCGTCGTGCAAAAGAACTAGTTTTCCGAAAAGCCTGTCGAGTAGCCACAGGCGTATATCTTTTCGTATTTCAATAAGAGTTTGACGAACACTTTCACAACACGGCTGCGCCTTTATGACTGGAGTGGCCACTGATGTTACCGTTTTAGATTCAGATTGGGCCGATGCGTAGGCCAAATAAGCGGCCAAAACCGCGACTAGGAACAAGCGCATGATGCTCCAAGAAACCGGGTGTAGGATCAATTAGATCTGTTGGCCAAATTTAAAATTTGAAACCTTTTATACCCTGGTACGTGGGTCTCGTTATTATTTTGACTATTTGCGTAGATGCTTGTCTAGCTTGCAAATTTTATTTGACAAAGAACATTTGGTACTTCCATTGTTTCCACGAAAAATACAATAGCTGAGCAAATTGTATGAACTATACTATACGTCAAAGTAAATATCTTTTTAATACCTATTAAGAAACAACTGTGCAAAATATTTGGGCTCAGCTTGAAATAAACACTTGTTAGATATTTGACTTTACGTAAATCGTTCGCTCGTGGCATATTTATACGTCAGAGGTACATTAACCGATTTTTGAACAAATGCTTTAAAGCACACGAAAACCGTTTATTTGGTCAGCCAGTTCTCCAAAGAGGTTTAAAACAATTGGAAATTATCCGAAAACGTAATTTGTATTGATGTTTATTTATACGATTAAATTTAAAATGATTATGTAACAAATTATAAATTTGAACTGAGTACTGTGTCGTTCACTAGTATTCGTCCTTCTCGAAAGGGTGGTGGGGGTGACCATATTGGCTGTAATTAGTGAAAAGCAAACTTAATCAATATATGACTGTTAAATACTCTATTTCTAAGCACAAACTAGGGGAACAATGGGTTAGCTAAGGCAAACTAGTACTTCCTAAGCATATACACGTGTTCAAATTATTAAAGGAAAGAAATAAATATTGTTAGAGCACAAGCAGGGAGGATCAAATAATAATAAAGCTAAATAAACCAAGCTCAGTAAACACAAATATTTAAGAAAATCGAATACGCGCTAAAAACTTGAAACATACGTTAAACTCATGCTCATGTTTATATAGATCTGACTCTATTGGGATCTTTTCTTCGTAAACGTTTCCCTTTCCAATAGGTATAATTTTTCATTCATTCGAATTCTTCTTTTTCTTCAGATATGGGTTTCTTAAAGCCTAATACTCGTCGTGGAACGGATAGTACTTATGGGTACCAGCATCGCTAAATAAATATAAATAAAGAAGTGATTTAAAGCAAATCGAGTAAAACAACCTTAGGCCCAAACGTCATTAATAATGTAAATAAATAAACATTTTTTTAGGTGCTAGTAGACTTACTTGAGTAGGGGAACCAGGCGGCCGTTGCACTCGAAGCTTTCGATGATTTTGATTTCCTCAGGTGTCAGTTCGAAGTCGAAGACCTGGAAGTTGGACTCGATACGATCCTTGGTCACAGACTTGGGGATAACAATGTTGGCACGCTGCACCTGGTATCGGATAAGGATCTGTCCAGGGGTCTTGTTCTTCTTAGCGGCAATCTCCTTGATCTAGAAGTTTTAAATATACTTGAAGTTAAGTTCAACATGTTGATATAAAGCAAAGCAACCTTAGCCTCCTCTAGGATGACCGGATCACCAGCCTTGGCCCATGGGCGGTTGGGAGATCCCAAGGGGCTGTAGGCAGTGATTGTAATATCCTTTGACTTGCAGAAATCGATCAGCTTCTTCTGGGTCAGATATGGGTGGCACTCAATCTGGTTGGTCACTGGTGGAATAGTGGCCACCTCAAGCACGCGCTCGATCTGCCTTCTGTTGAAGTTTGAAACACCAATGGACTTGACCAGACCCTCTTCCACCAACTTCTCCATGGCCTTCCACGTGTCGACGTAATCAACGGGAGAGTACAGGGTCTTGCCATCCTTGTCGGTGGGGAACAGATCGCAGCCCTCCTTGTAGCCCATGGGCCAGTGAATAAGATACAGATCGAGGTACTTCAGCTTCAGAGAACTCAATGTGTTCTCCACGGCCGACTTGACAAGATCCGGGCGATGGAAAGTGTTCCACAGCTTGCTGGTGATGAACAGATCCTCACTGCAAATTTGGGAAAATGAGTACAATAGGCCCCTAGCCATAGTAGACAAAGACTAGTACTCACCGCTTGACAACGCCCTCCTTGATCTTGGCCGCAACACCATCTCCGACCTCATCCTCGTTTTGGTACACATAGGCACAGTCAATGTGCCTGTATCCGGCATCAATGGCCACTTTTACAGCCTCGGTGACTTGACCCTTGGGGCTCTGGAAGCAGAGTAGCAACATGTGTTAGTAGTATTGTATAGACTCGGCCTATGGTACATCAAATTTATCGCTCAATTCTGTTATCACATAATTCTGTTATCACATATACTTAAATTGGCTGCCGCATTTTAAGGGTTACTATCACCTATCATTATTCGCTGGCAGTTTTCGCATAATTTATAATCATGGAACCGTAGAATATTCGATGCCCTTAACCGAATTTCGCAATTCGTTATCGATCAAAGTTTCAGTTATGAGGAGCGTGATTTGGAAATCTAAACACAAAAGTCGCCCTATCAGGCACTTGACGTCACCTATCAGCCCCCTTAGTTCCCGCATCCAAAAAAAGTTTCCAATGAGATCAAAAATAGTTCAGAGCATTATAGTACATTGGAATTACAAACGGGAACAGTATACTCCTCAAATTGGAAAACGGATGACATAGTTTATAATATTGCTGATTTATGTTTCACAAAAACAGAAAGGTCAAAGACTTTAGGTTTTGACATAATAAGTATATATTAGTTTAATTTATTGTTTTGCCACCAAGCCCCTCCTTTCTACTCTACAAATAGTGCACGTAAACTAAATCTGATAAGACATTTTTAAAAATACCCTTATTATACCCTTGCTAATTAAACCTTTCTTATCAGCGTCTTTCCCACCGTAATTTTAAAAGCTTTCCCATTACGAGCTGTATTCAACTTGGACGCTTGTTTTCCGTTTGAGGGGCTTGTCTTTCACGATTATTTGAACTAATCCATACCTTATTTTTTAAACTTAAATATTGAAACTGGAGCAATCTGGTCGAGTAATCTGCCACTCTAGATAAGAACGTTTATCAACTTCTGGAAATATGTACTTGGCGTGCCCCAAATATATGAATGCTTGTGTGTTATATCTGGAAATGATGTGGCAAATATTGTGAAAATTTTCCAATGCCCTAAGAAGGTATAAAGGGTCACCTTGACGAAAGTTCATGGAGATCTTCAAATCGCACATATGTATGTATATTCGCGGCGCTGTGTAAGTAATTAACATGAAGGCAGCAAAATATGGGTTATTTTTCTACCAAAACTGCTAGATTATACGCTTCGCAGAAGATATATGTATTATTACATATGTACAAACAGAATGACCGGCAAAATACAGCCGGCAAACTATCAGCAATGCGACGCGTGTCCATTTTTTATCCCCTGTCTGTTCGGGCATCAGCGCAAAAAAAGCTGAGCAAAAAACGGGAAGTCGTGGGCAGCGGAAAACTACCCGATTGTGGGAAGCAGAACGCACAAATACAACTGCATTGATATGCAAGTGCTATAATGTAGTGAAATTACTTGGTATTCTACTTACGCCCCAGGTTCCCAGTCCAATGATTGGGACTTCCTTGCCGTTGTTGAACTTAACGTTTGGTACTGCCATTGCTTTCTGCTTAAGGATATTTATAAATATTTATAATACAATTGGGAATATTTCGACGATTGCCGGCTTCTCAAGAAACTGAACGATTGCACTCAGCTGTTTATCGCTTATATACGCGCCGCAAAAGCTTGTCCGAAATTCTGAAAAGCTTTCGAGAACAGGGCTGCATACTCGACCAGCCGCACAGCTGAGCGATCGTCAGTTACGCTTAAATATTGGGAAATATTCAATTGCATTGAACTAAAATTAAAAAATATGTATTTTCTTGTTTGTTTCTCCTAATGTTGATATCATTTTGGTAACATTCAATAATTTGCTATAAATTATACCAACTAGATTGCATGTACATATGTATATTGCTAATTATATTTTCTAAGGAGGTTCCAATTTTGTTTTCTTAAAAATAAATAATATTAACCAAAAATGGTAAAAAACACTAGGACCATGATGTATGTATAAGCTCTTCATGGCTAGATAAGTAAAAATACTGTATTTTGACTAAAAAACTAGTCATTTTCAAAAATATGGCAGGGATATGAAAATAATATATTTACCAAATAAGTTCCGAGCCCAATCACTGGGATCTCATTCCCGTCCAAGAAAACCACTTTGGGATGTCGAACATACTCCTTCTGGCACCTATTGGTGAAAATGATTCCTCTCAAGGCTTCGTTGGATTGGAATTTCACGTAAATTACCACATAAAACGCTCGGTCTTCCCATAGTTCCTTAGGGTAAAGCGAAAAACAGGCTTAAGCAATTGAATTTTTAATAGGCTGTTCATCCTTATTTGCACGCAAGTAAGTTTCAATTATTTTAGTACGGCTTCTTGACTGATAGGAGAATGCAACGACTACTTGGTTTTAGTATTAACGCCTAAAAGTAAAATAGCAAAATGAATGTGTATATAAAAATAAACAGCCACATTCTAAATACAGTTCAACATGACAACCAACTCAAAAGCCACAATTCGATTTTACACAGAAAACAGTTGAATTATATTATCTCTAATATTATCGTATAGACATTGTATAACAATAATTATGCTTGTCTCCTCAGTATAAAGGAAGTACCAGGTACATCATTAGTATAAGCCCCGACATTGCCGCACATAATCATACATATCACATTGAAGGCAACCGATGTTAATATTACTTGTACCCTCATCATTGGAAATCTACTTCGCCTGTACAGGCTCGAAGGGATGATGAGGATGTCCATAGGCCCTAGGGGAAAATATAAAGATTGGTTGAGTTGAGCAAATGTAAATGAACTTAGGAAATAAGCAACACATACGCCTTCATGGTCATAAAACGACCATTGCAGTCCAAGTCGTGTATAGCCTGTATGTCGTCGATGGCCAACTCAAAGTCCCAGATTGACTTGAAGTTGTCCAGCATGTGCTGCTTGCTCACGGATCTTGGGATAACGATAATACCCGATTGTGTCTGGTAGCGGAGGAGCACCTGCGCCGGAGTCCTTTCGTATTTCTCAGCTACAGCCAGGATGGTCGGGTGCTGGAGCAGTGGATAGGCGCCGGGCTTCTCGTAGGGCGTGTGACCCGATCCCAGGCAGCTGTAGGCGGTCACAGCAATGGCATTGTCATAGCACAGGGTAATCAATGGCTTCTGACTCAGGTACGGGTGGCACTCGATCTGTAGGACCACTGGCTTTAGCTTGGCCACACTCAGTAGTCTATTCATCTGCTGCTCGTTGAAGTTGGACACCCCGATGGCCTGGCACAGCCCCTCATCCACCAGGTCCTCCATTGCGCGCCAGGTGTCCACATAGTCGATGTCCTCGAACACGGCTTTATTTGTGTCCGGGCACGTGGGATATAGGTTGTCATTGCCCGACTTGTAGGCCATGGGCCAGTGCATCAGGTAGAGGTTTAGGTACTTGACTCCCAAGTTCCTCATGCTAGTCTCGCATGCAGAGCGCACCAACTCCGGCTTGTGGTGTGTGTTCCACAGTTTGCTCGTGATAAAGAGTTCATCGCTGTAATATGAATTATTTGGCTTAGATATAGGTTTATATATGTTTAAGGCACCATTTACCGTGTGACCACCCCCGCGTCCATTTTCTCCCGCAGAGCGGCTCCCACTTGCGCCTCATTTCCGTATACGTGGGCGCAGTCAAAATGGCGATAGCCTATGTCAATGGCATCCTTTACTGCTTGGGTGACCACTTCCGGGGGGCTCTAAGATGGCGAAAAGAAATCGTGAGAGCGAAAGTGCAACAAAAGCTTTTTGTTGACCCCGAAGAGCTTTGACATTGACCGTGGAATATGTAGTGGAAGTGCACGTTTCAGCTGGCGATTATTTAATAACATTGTACACATTATTTATGTAGGTGGACTTACCCGCCAAGTGCCGAGACCCAACATGGGCATATTTTTTCCATTGCTCAAGAGAAAATTCGGAGTTGTCATGTCTGATTGGCTTGGCTCCTTGGCAAATCAGTTGTTGCACTGGCTTCGTTTTTTGATAGCTTAAATTTGTAATTTACTAAGTGAACTATACTCAAAGGCCTATTAAACTGGCTACGAGCGGCATGTCTTGTGACAGCTTTGCTATCACAACTATATGTACGAAAATTGTTTAAATTTAGATTCTTTTGAGTGAGCAAAAGACCTTCGCGGCATATAATCGATTCGTCGCAGAGCGGAATTTCAAAATTTAAAACAATGTATTATTTTCATTTTTTTGTGGGTATAAAGGTTTTCTTTTTAACATTTCACCAGATCTACCAACTGACTTTCCTGGTTTGGACAATTTATAACGACTTTATTAAATAAATAAAGTAATGTTCTTTAATACAATATGGTATTCAAATTAGCATCCAATAAAAAAAAAGTATTCCATTTTTTGGACTGCCAACTTAAAAACTATTAATACACAATATAGAAACTTCGTAAGCCTATTTTAAAAGGAATACACATATATACTTTTAAATCTATACTCTTTATCAGAAAACGAAAAAGAAAAATGTTTTTTGTAATAAATAATTAAAAAAACGTTTAAAAAATCATCCTGACACTATCGCGTTATAAAAAAACTATCGATAGAATATTCCGATGAGACATCGCTCTCACAGATAGTGCTACCATCTCTATTTTGCCGCCTGCGAAAAACACAAACAATGTTCGGGACCGTAAATAGCTATTTATCCGGCGTTTTGCACGCCGCCCAGGATTTCGATGGCGAGACCTTGGGCACCCACCTCTCCTTACGGGACGTGCACGTGCAGAACCACAATCTGTACATCGCTCAGCCGGAAAAGTTAGTAGATCGATTTCTGAAACCGCCACTGGATGAAGTTGTGTCCGCTCACCTGAAGGTCCTGTATCATCTGGCACAGGAGCCACCGGGTTATATGGAGGCCTACACCCAACAAGCGGCAGGCTGCGGCGCTGTCGTAAGGCTTTTGCAGCAGCTGAAGGACGAGAATTGGTGCCTGCCACTAATGTACCGCGTGTGCCTGGATCTGAGGTACTTGGCGCAGGCCTGCGAGAAGCATTGTCGAGGATTCACACCTGGGCACGTGCTGGAGAAGGCCGCCGACTGCATGATGGCATGTTTCCGCGTGTGTGCCGCCGATGGGCGAGCTTCCGAGGATGACACCAAGCGCCTGGGCATGATGAACCTCGTAAACCAGCTATTCAAGATCTACTTCCGCATCAACAAGCTGCATTTGTGCAAGCCCCTTATCCGTGCCATTGACAACTGCGTCTTCAAGGATTCTTTTCCGCTGCCGGAACAAATAACCTACAAGTATTTCGTGGGTAGGCGGGCCATGTTCGACTCCAACTACCAGGCAGCCGTACAGGATCTGTCGTATGCATTTAGCAATTGTCCGGATCGGTTTGCCAGCAACAAAAGGCTCATCCTCATATACTTGGTGCCTGTGAAGATGCTCCTGGGGTACCTGCCCAGCAAATCCCTACTGCAGCGCTACGATCTCCTGCTGTTCCATGATTTGGCTTTGGCCCTGAAGGCTGGCAATGTGAATCGCTTCGATGAGATTGTCAGGGACCAGGAGCTGGTGCTGATCCGGAGTGGCATCTATCTGCTGGTGGAGAAGCTCAAGTTCCTCGTGTACCGCAATCTGTTCAAGAAGGTGTTCGTCATCCGGCAAACCCATCAGTTGGACATGGGCGACTTTCTCTCCGCCTTGCAGTTCGTTGGCTTAAACGACGTTTCTCTGGACGAGACGCACTGCATCGTGGCCAATCTAATTTACGATGGAAAGATTAAGGGCTACATCTCACATGCTCACAACAAGCTGGTCGTGTCCAAGCAAAATCCATTCCCCTCAATATCCCTTTAGTGCATTTCATTATTTTTGCGAAGTTTTAAGAGTAAAGTCTCCAATTTAATCGGTGTTTTAGTTTACTAAATGGGGCTCGATGTGTATCAAACCAACAAATTTAATTTTAACAAATTTGATTCTTTATGAACTATTAAAGTTTATGGTCATAAATTCCATTTAACGGTTTTAAACTATGCAATTGATAGATATCGATGTTTTTGGCCGAGCCGATGTATCGACACCGAAATCGGATTTAGTCGCATCTCTAGCTCTACCGACTATCAGTCATCGCTGAACTTTTAGTAACGCAGCTACATAAATTGTCGTAGTTGAGCGAAATTAAACAAATTAACAGAATACTTTTGGCATTACCTGGTAAATGATAAGACCCTCATTCGCGGAAAGTGTACAATAGACAAGTGGCAGTAATAAATATAGTTTACCAGTAGCCCCTTCTCAGCCGGCGACGTGTTGTCATTTTCACAATCGTAAAATCAATATTACTAATTTTGCTTTGCGTTTACAACGTGACATAACTAAAACGCAAACTACAGAGCGTTTGTTTCCCATTGCATTGCAGAAATCCGCTGACACCGAAAAAAGCGACGAAAGCAGCGCCAAGTCGCCGATTCGCAGAGTACCTGGCATTGGAATAGTGCGTCCCCAGTAGAGGCTAAACTGAACAGCAGACATGGCTGCGCCGGTCATTGTCGAGGCCACGGCCAAGCAAACCGCCACGGTGAGTAGTCCGGCGTAGTCCAAATTCCGGAAGACTGCAACTAATCAATTGTGTATTGCAGCTGATCTTCAT